TGTTGCTAGAGCTGTTTTTGTGAATTTGTTCCCAGGGGGCCTTGGCCGAGAGGCAGCATGGCGGCATGGACCTTTCTAAACTCACTGGGGATGACAGGCTGGTAAGTCCTGCTTTCCAACTTTTTCTACAGTTTAGGTCTTTATGCAAACAGGTAGCGGTTCAAAGATCCTCTGCTTTCATGGCCTCTTAGGCATGAGGAGAAAGACTGATTCATTATAGCCATTGACGGAGAGACAGATAATTTCCCATCTTTTGTTGAGGCTGACAGTCCTTGTCTTTCCCATGGGCCATGATCTAGCTTGCATTGGTGGGTTGTAGCTTGGAAAAGAGGAGGCAAGGATGGGTTTGGAGCACTTGTTATGGTTAACTGTCCTCCAGCTCCTTCTCAATCTGATTCCAATATGGCGTTTGTGATCTACCTATCTTGCAGAGTCCACCACGGGGATTAGTTGCCGCTTACAGTGGTGAGAGCGACAGTGAGGAGGAGCAGGAGAAGGCCGCTGATCGGGAAGAGAAGTTAACAGATTGGCACAAACTGGCTTGCCTGCTTTGTCGCAGACAGTTCCCCAGCAAGGAAGCACTTATTCGTCACCAGCAGCTTTCGGGATTACATAAGGTATGCAGTTAGAAAGACTTATAAAACCAACAACTCTGATGTCCTTCTGAACTGCTTGGCAGATATGCCATGTGGGGGATAGCATTTTGCAATGGTTCTGGTTCTTCCTTGACGGTGGGGCTTGGGACGTTCTGCCTGACCATTTGGCCATTAACTCATAATGTTCTAGAAATTCCATCTAATCCTATTTATTTGTGTCTGTTTAAAATGGGGGGAAGAGATCACCCAGACTGTACTGTCTGTATGCTGATGATATTCTGACCATTCTTTGTGTCATGTCTTAGGAAATCTGTATATGTTCTAAATTAACCTAGAAATGTGGGCAAATGTGAAGCTTATTCCTCAAGATCAGTAGGATAGCTGATCTTAGAATGAGAGATACACCTTGTTTTAGCTCACGTGCACAAGTCTGAGCTTTTGATCTTTGATTGTCAAATTGTAGATGTGGCTGTAGATGCTCTTTTGGTGGGCAAACTGCTTTCATTTCTGAAGCAACTATTGTTCCCAGGTGCACAAGTGCCTTGGATAGACTCAGATGTAATTACAGAAGTGTGGTCTGAACAGAGAACCTGAAGGACGTTCAGAAAGCATGAAATGCTCTAGAAACGGAGAGGCCACACCCAATAATAGATATTCCAAGCACACACACAAAAAGTGTGTTAACTCACCCAGGTAGTTTCCAGAATTACAAAACAGATGTACATTGTATGCCTATTTTTGATAAGTCAGATTAACTTCTCACTTATTCCAATGCAAAAAAAATTATCTTCTATACACTAGGGAGAGGAACAGTGTAGAAGTAAAACTTCTGCAGCTGGGGATGTGATTGGTACCAGTTCTGTTGAACATCTAATTCTAATTCTTCTGTGAGCTTCAGACTCCTGGTGTTACAAGCTTCAGTTCAAATAGTGGTATCATCTTTACTTACTTAGGCAATCCCTTGTAGATTGAGGATGATTGTCTTCCAGATGTGGAGTTGTAGATCCTGGGATATATAGTTCACCTGCAATCTGAGAGCACTCTGAACTCCACCAACAATGGATCTGGAACTAACTTGGCACACAGAACCCCCATTACCAACAAAACATATTGGAGGTCTTTAGGGGGATTTATAGGAGTTGTAGTTCATCTACATCCATAGAGTACTATGAACCCAAACAACGCTGAATCTGGACCGAAATTGGCATGCATACCCAATATGCCCAAATTTGAATACTGGTGGGTTTTGAGGGGAATTAGTCTGGACATTTTGGAGTTGTATGTACTGGGATTTATAGTTCACCTGTAATCAACGAGCACTGATCGCCACCAAAGATGGAATTGGACCAAACTTGGCATGCAGAACCCCATGACCAACAAAAAATAATGGAGGTCTTTGGGGAAAATTCACCTTGATTTGGGGGAGTTGTAGTTCACCTACATCCAGAGAGCACTGTGAACCCAATCACTGATGGATCTGGACTTGGCACACATACCTGATATGCCAAAATTTGATTACTGGAGGGATCCTGAGAGAACTGACCTTCCTTTCTGGGAGCTGTAGTTCACCCACAACCAGAGAAACTGAGCTTCACAATGATGGACCTGGACCAGACTTGGCACACAGAACCCCCATGACTAACTCAACCTACTGGAGGAGTTTGTGGGGACTGACTCACCATAGTGGAAGTTGTAGTTTATCCTGCAGCCACAGCGCACACTGAACCCCACCAATGAGGCATCTAGAGCAGACTTGTCCAACATAACAGACTTTAAGTACTGATGGAGTTTTTCGGGGTTAACCTGGCATGATATCCGTTGTACTTAATCCATAACCTTATGCATTTTGTACAATGAAAAAAAAATGACTTTTTCAAATAACCTGGGCAATGCTGGGTACCCAAGCTAGTTATAAATAAAACTATCCCATCTAATAAGTTTCTACTATAAAAAATGGGTATATGTACGAGAGACTGTGATGGGATGTTCAGTGGATGCCCGTCTTTATCTCCGCTTAAGTCTCTCTTCTCTTTTTTCCCTCCGCAGCAAAATTTGGAAATCCATCGGCGGGCACACTTGTCAGAACAAGAGCTTGAGGCACTTGAGAAAAATGACATAGAGGTATTGGAGGAGGGCAGGGATGGGTAACAACTGGCCCTGGTGGTGGGAGCATTATATAGTCAGGCTTGGAATCCTTAATGTATTTGCTTCATGACCTATCAGCAGATGAAATACAGAGATCGCGCAGCTGAACGAAGGGAGAAGTATGGTGTCCCTGAGCCCCCTGAACCCAAAAAGAGGAAGTATTCAGCAGTCACACCAGCCACTGTGTAAGCCCTTCCTGCCTTTTGCATGGTCCTTAGTTGTGAGAGAAATGTTCCCCTTTGAGAGGGAACTCCTTTTTGTCTGCATAGAAAGTCATCTCCATTCTTCAACATACTGTGTACTTTCCTGTGAACTTCATTATTAAAAAGAGAGGGCACCCTCTCCTTATTCTGCAACAGGGATTTTGAACAACCAACGCGGGACGGACTCGGCAGTGACAACATTGGCAGTCGCATGCTACAAGCCATGGGCTGGAAAGAAGGCAGTGGACTGGGTCGCAAGAAGCAGGGCATAGTTGCCCCTATTGAGGTACCAGAGGGCTTTTTTTCAAATTACTGTAAATATAGATGTCTCCGTATTAGCTAGAGTAAAAGAGAAAGGGAAATACAAGCAATTGAATCAGACAGTCTTCGTGATCGAATAAATAAATAATACAAAGAGCAGAGATACAACTGTTCCCAGAGAGTTGGGGGGGGGGAGGGGGGAGAGGAAGAGGGAAGGGGAAAAAATGGATATATGTATAAGAACTTAATTTATCGTATCAGAAGCAAACTGAGGGTAAAGTTGTAATGTATGTAAAAACACAAAGTTAAACTCTTAGCAACACCAGAGGAACTCCTAGTGGCCACTACTGGTCAAAGGACATTTAGGATATGTGTAACTAGTAGATAAGAATAGAAATGCAAAGGATAGGGAAAAAAGCAATCATCAGAATGTTATGAGAATATATGGGGGGGGGGGGGGAACTGTAATGATGTCTGCGACAATGTGAAAATTTTATATACATATATATATGTGCCACATTGTCACAGTCACCATTACAATTTTTTCCCATATATTCTCATAACATACTGATTATTGCTTTTTTTCCTATCCTTTAAAAATTGTAATGGTGACTGTAACAATGTGACAAATTAACCGCTGAGCTGATGAACTTGCTAACCAAAAGGTCGCAGGTTCAAATCTGAGGAGCGGCATGAGCTCCCACTGTTAGCCCCAGCTTCTGCCAACCTAGCAGTTCGAAAACATGCAAATGTGAGTAAATCAATAGGTACCGCCACGACGGTACCACATGACCTTGGAGGTGTCTACGGACAACCTCAGCTCTTCGGCTTAGAAGTGGAGATGAGCACCGATCCCCAGAGTCGGACATGACTGGACTTAATGTCAGGGGAAAACCTTTACCTATATATATATCATTCATCCTGTGGAGACATACTGGGTAGTTGCCTCCTTTTCCCATGAACTGTATTTACAAAACGGAGGAGGATATGAGCCTTTAGCTTGATGATATGTACATTCTTAGATTTAGCATGAGAGGAACCAGTGGGATTTGGGTGTGGGACTAGGACTCTGGTGATAAAGATTTGAATCCCTGTTTGCCAGTTATGGTAATCTGGAGTATTGGTATACAAAGGGATCTTGCAGAACTTTGGAGACGAAGCTTTAATCAACAGAGACCCCTTCTACACAGACCATTTAATGCAGTTCAAAGCTAGTTTCAAACTATTGAGTCCAGGCAACAAACTCGCACAGAAATGCACAAAAGAGAGCCCTTAATGCACATCAGTGCTTTGTAGTTTCTGTCGTCATCATCTGAGCCTCAAACTGGTTCCAGGATTTCCTCTGTAAACATCTGCACAGCAAAACCACTTTCTTCAGTACCGGTTTGGAACTGCATTTAATGGTCACTGTAGATATACCCTAAGTCTGCTTCCTTGAATGCATGGAGTGAAGTGCCTATGGATAGACCTTTATAGATTCTATAGGGAGGGAGGGAAGATTTATTTCTCTCTATAAGAGTGTGTCAGTCTCTCTTTAATACTTGCTTTTCCTCTCCTCCCCCACCCCCACCCCCGGTTTTTCCTAGGCCCCAACACGGGTCCGTGGGTCTGGCCTGGGAGCACGTGGCAGCTCTTATGGGGCTGTAGCATCAGAGTCCTATCGCGAGGCATTGCACAAGACTATGGTGACGCGTTTCAACGAGACGGACTGAGTTCTTTGTGGAGCACACACCTGTACAGTATTTTGCCGATGTGTTCCTCCACCCACTCCCTGGTGCCCAACTTTCACACAATGTTTCTTTGGTTGACTTTTTTTAATTAAATGTTAAAATGGACACAAAAGTGTTTTTTTACATGTCTGGAGCCTTGGAGCACATGCAGCTGCCAAGTACTTTTGTGAGTCCCTGTGCAAACATAAGTTGCTGAAGTACACCACTGTGGTATGGATATAACATAATAGCTCTTTGAGCTTCAAGTCTTGCGGAGAGACCAAGCTCAAAGCAGAAAGTAGACTTCATTCTAGTCTCTCCATCTGCGATCCTTCTGTATTATCAGTTTTTACAGAGGAGTGGACCAGTAAAAACCATAGACAAAATGTATATCAGCAGAACAGCCATTGTTATTCTTTCAAAGTGGCCTGTGCAGCCCTTCAACCAGCTCTGCATAATGACGTTCTGAAAGATAAGTGGGATGAGAAGACATATCAGTGACTTGATAAATAACATGGTCAGTCAAGTGCAACTATAGCCCTTCTTGCTGCCAGCTTATCTTTGCTCCCCCTTTATCATACATTTTTAGGATTCAGGTCTAGCTCACCTTCATCAGGCTGGATGTAACTATGCCTGATAAGAAAATCCAGTGCTACCATTGAACAGTTTGGCTTGAAATCTGAGGAGCCAATGACCTCTTTCACCTGCACAAAGAGAAGAGTTATATGAAATATGAGTCTGGTTGCCTTCACTCACCCATCACTCTCCAGATTGTCAACAGGCCATGTCCATAAGAGCCAAAGTTCTCCATAGCCAAATAACAGTTTGTCTAAAATGACCATCCTACTTGTTATAATGGCCGAAATCTTGATACCACAGGAAAGTGAAGCTGGAGCCTGCTATTCTTGTCACTATCTACAACAGAGATTTCCAAATATGTCATGTTAGTGACACACCTTTTTTAGACATGCCTCATTTCATGAGAAAATAATTCAGTTTCACTAGCCTAACTGGAGTCTCTGGTGGTGCAAGGGGTTAAACCATTGTGCTGGCAGGACTCCTGACCAAGGTCGGTGGTTCGAATCTGGGAAGCGGGGTGAGCTCCCATCTGTCAGCTCCAGCTTCTCATGAAGGGACATGAGAGAAGCCTCCTACAAGGATGGTAAAACATCCGGCCATCCCCTGGGCAACATCCTTGCAGACGGCCAATTTTCTCACACCAGAAGTGACTTGCAGTTCTCAAATCGCTCCTGACAGGAATAAAACAAACAAAAACAAACTAGGAAACTAACCCCTTATAAGATATACAAACACATATATAAATTGCAATAATGAAGTGTGTGGGGACATAAAATATCTCATGAAAACTTTTCATTTATATCCTTAAAAAATATATGATTTGTAAGATGACATACATTTTCCAGCTTTTTTACATTTTCCCTTACGTTTGTATGACATGCCTACACACTGCAGCTGACACACTAATGTGTCACAACACACAATTTGGAAAGTTCTGACTACAGTATGTCCTTTCAACTGACATAGACCCTCTATCCTTAATCAACATTTTATAGCAAAAAAAAAAAATCCTTGTCTTAAAGATATATGCATACATTATGCCATAATGCACCTTTATTAGAGGAGCACTTTTTTTGAAAACATACATTACTTAGTCTGCATGATGTCATATAACGGGTGTTTTTTTGTTTAGTTTTCTGCCTGGCATGGCTACTACTTGGGAACCTAGTATAAACTACAATACGGTTCTGTACGGCTGGTTTTATTACACTGAATAACTGCAAGAGGAAAGATATCTGCGTATAGAAGGCCTCACCTTGACGGGTACACTTAGCTGCTTTTCTGAGCACGTCAAATTACACCTACCAACCTTGTCAAGTGGCCAAAGGTAGAACTCCTGCACCTCTCCATCCCCCACCTGGGGCACAAAGTCTTCAGGCAGCTCCAGGTCAAATACAAACTGACATTCAGGATAGATGCCTCCACGTGCCCCTTCATAGGTGTAGCTGAGGTGGGAGAAGGCAGGGAAAGTAGTTCAGTCATACGGATGACTTGCGTGGTGATAACAAGCAATGGAGAGGGCAAGCAAACCCTATGAGGAACAGCTTAGAGAGCTGGGTGTGTTTAGCTTGGGAGAAAAGGCTGAAAGGTGACGATAGTATGTTTAAATATTTGAAAAGATATCACACTGAGGAAGTGAGCAGACTTGTTTTCTGCTACTCTGCTGACTCAGGACAAAATGGAGCAATGGGTTCAAACTGAAGGAAAGAAAGATTCCACATAAAAATTAGGAAGAACTTCCCGACAGTAAGAATTGTTCGGCAATGGAATATGCAGCTGCCTCAAAGTCTGGTAGAGGCTCCTTCTCTGGAGGTTTTTAAGCAGGGGCTAGATGGCTATCTCTTGGAGGTGCTTTGATCCTGTGTTCCTGCATGGCAGAAGGGGGTTGGGCTGGATGGCCCTGCTAGTCTCTTCCAACTTTGAATCTATGTGATTGGTCGGGTATCTTCCTGCCTGGGGGTAGTTCTGACTCCAAATTATGTAGAAGTCATGTTTCATATTATTTCTAGAAAAATGGGAGTCATATTTATCTCATAAGCTTATCCCTGCTTTCCTAATGAAACTGGAAATAGCATCTAGAAGGCCACCTGCCCATAAACTTTAGTGCTTCTCGATCTCTGCTTCTCCCTTTGTTTTGGACTTTGGTTTACATAAATCCACTCAACATGGCCAGTGGTCAGGAATTCTGGAAGTTAAAGGTCCAATTATCTAGAGGACCAGTGGTTGGAAACCACTGCTCTCTATTAGCATTCACTATTTATTTATTTACCATATTTGTATACCACCTTTCTCAGCCCGAAGGCGACTCAGGGTGGTTTACAGTCGGCAACAATTCAATGCCCCAACAGACATAAAAATAAAATTAAAAACATTTAACATATATATAAAAACCATATAAAACCAATAAAAACATAAATCATCAGCGTCTTCTTACTATCAATCCAGCTTTTAAATTAGGAAAAGAGGGCAACATTGAACAAATGTGGCTGCTGGGGATCAAGGACCCCCAAAAACTACTGGCTCAGAAGCTATGCAGAGTACTTAGCTTTCCCTTTGGATACACTTTTATCATAGATCAAGAAGTGGGTAGACATTTCTGTAGACCCACAGACGCATTTAGAACAGATGCTATATTAATAATTTCAAAACAAACAGGAAGAGATTGTTGTAGGTTTTTTGGGCTATATGGCCATGTTCTAGAGGCATTCTCTCCTGACGTTTCACCTGCATCTATGGCAAGCATCCTCAGAGGTATGCTTGCCATAGATGCAGGTGAAACGTCAGGAGAGAATGCCTCTAGAACATATAGCCCGAAAAAACCTACAACAACCCAGTGATTCCGGCCATGAAAACCTTCGACAATACATTAAACAGGAAGAGTCTCAAAAAGAAATAGAAGTTTATATGAGGAGAAATTTCACAGAATACAAACAAGTGCTTTTATACATTGCTTAGCTACTGATATTATGTCCTCGATCCACATATCCAAGTATAGGACATCCCAACATCATCACATCTTCTCTTGGATTTGAGGTAGCCTTATTACCTGATAGTCCCCACAGCCTTGGCTAATGCCGCAAGGGAGGCAGGTATGCAGGCTTCCTCTTGGCACTCTTTTACTAGTGTCTCTCTGACGCTCAGCCCTGATGCAATGCCACCAGCAGCCTAAAGGGAATAGGAAAATTGGCAATACTGAGCTATTAAAATAAGTTGTCCGAAGGGTAATATTTCACCATTATTGCTAGCCCATCATGCCCTTTCTGCTCAATGAGCAGAGTCACCACCTTATCACATTGAGAAATTTCCCAGTTGTAGAACACATCAGCCTCTTTTCAAACATGGAGGGGAACTGAGTTCATTGCATGAGCTGAACTGGCAGTCCTGTATAGCCCTCTGTGCTTCAAAAGAGGCAGAAGTGCTCTGGAAGGAAGGAACTCTGGCAATCAAACTCATCACTTATAGGACACTTAGGCCTCTTTTCTAGCATGGAGAGGAGCTGAACTCATCACATGTTCCAGGGTTGAAAAGAGGCTAAAATGTCCCGAAAGGAGGAAACTGAACACGGGCCAGCTATTGTGTTCAGAGCTCTTACCTCTTATCACTTTACTCATATCTTTACAACCATCAAAGTTTCCCATCCTATTTCATTGCCCAACCACCAGCAGTTTCTTGTATCCTCTGGGGTTTTATGCAGATCCATAGGATCCCATGGAAAGCAATGGTTTTAACTTGGCTCACTGCCTCATGTGTCCTCTGGGGTTCCATGCAAAACAATAGAATCCCATTGAAAGAATTATTTTAATCTGAATCACTGTTTCTTGTATCTTGTGGGCTTTGATGCAGAACCGTAGGGTCCCATGGAAAGAAGTGGGTATAAACTGGTGTCAGATTCCTTTCATGTAAGGGGCTTTGGGCAGGGCAAGGTATCTCTTGGGCTTTGGATATTGTTGTTTCTCCTGATTAAAAACAAAAAAAGTAATATTGACCTTGGATGAGATATATAAAATGAATATATTGCCACCTCTGAAGTTTCCATGTGTGAATGTGATGGGGAGGCAGAACAGAAACTGGACCGCTGACAAGATAAGAGGGGCAAATTCTACTCTTAAAGGGACGGTCACCCATGCTTTTTGCTCTCAATGTGATGAGGTCATAAGAGTCTCAAATGACCTGTTAGCATTTGCCACTCTAGCAAATGGCATGTGAGGAAAGCAAATTAAAAGCTTCTGTCTTTCTTGTATGCCTTTCACACAGAAATGGTGCCACATTGCCCCTTCCCTGGAGCTTCCAGGAAGTTTACTTTACCCTTGCCATTCTATCCAACTGCAGTATTACCCATTCCCCATTATTTTCAAGGGGAGAATGTACCTTGTTTTAGAACTAGATACCACTTCTAGGAACCCATTTCAATTTAGTGTTTGCACTCCCTGGGTGCCTTGCTTAAAAATGAAACGGGTATTATTTATGCTGAACCTAGTATATAGGAGCTGCCCATTGCCCACCCAAATGTAAACTGCTTAAGGAGAAAACTTAGCAGATGAAACCTCTTTCTTCTCAGTGCTGGGGTAAAATGGTCTTGCTGAAATAATCTTTAGAAAAATCAACACAGTTATGAGCTTCTACCGATTCTGGCATGTGCAAACCCCGTTTAAGTCAGTATTCTCTCTGGCTGTGACCTGATTGAGACCAATGAATGTATTCTGATTGATTGCTTGCTTCCACCCTCAAACAAAGGAAGCAGACCTTTGAGCCTTCCCCTCTAACCAATTTCTTACCAGGTTATCCAACAAGCCAGGGTATGTGGGTTTGTTCAGAGCCCTGCGGGCCAGCCACATGTGCATTTGACCATTTCGCCAAGTGTAGCCATTCAGGTGAGCACCGTAGCGCTTCACTCCAAATAGCGCTGGATTCAAAAGAGAAATGAAGAGGAATCATTTGGCAAGGAGAACAGTTTCCAGGTGTGAGCAAAGGAAGAGTTTTATCAGTGAATAGGTTTATTTATTTATTTATTTACGACATTTATTTGTCGCCCTTCTAGTAATATTTAATACTGATATTGTACTATGCTAATAACATAATAGAGTGTATGTATATATATCTTGTAAGCTGCTCTGAGTCCCCTTTAGGGTGAGAAGGGTGGCATATAAATGTCGTAAATAAATAAATAAATAAATTTTCCTCTGTGAAGCAATAAAATCCACAGTTGATTGCTGGGAAAGGGTTGGCTCACATCCTATGAATAAAACATGCTTCCAACCTGTGACATGGGCAAAGCTCTCACTCTGATTAATATTACTTTCCAAACAGGTCCCTAGGAAATTGAGGAACAGGTATGCAACAAAACATGAGGGGCAGCACTAGTGATCTATGCAAGACTTAACAGGGGCACAGAGACAATTCAGCTGTACTTACTTATGCATGCCTGTTGGGGGTTCTGGAAGGTATACATTGCCCACTCTTAGAGTACATCTTATACAGGGTGCAGCAGCATCACTTCCTTTTTTCAAAGGAACCCATTGTATGAATCAGAATTTTTTTATAATGTAGATGCATACCTAAAGTTTTGTTTTACGTAGTTTTGAAGATCAAATTAGGTAGGTGATGTCCCCCATTCTCCATACACTGAGTAAACCGATTTCTGGCATTTGTCATGACTCTTACCAGCATAGCAGGCGTTATGTTGATTTCTTCCTGGATGTTGGTCTTCAAATTTTGTAGGGTCCTTGGATGGTTCACATAAACACGGGATTTCAAAAAACCCCATAGAAAAAAATCACAAGGGGCCAAATCTGGAGAGCGGTCCGGCCACTCCAAATCCGCTCAAAAAGTAGGCCTCAACGGCAAAAACACGCTCCTCACTGTTCCAACGCATGATGACGACTGGACTGTGTCAGGACAAAACTTTATACTCCCGCCTCTCGAACGAGACTACTACCAAATGAGAGACTCCCCCCTAGGCACTGAATGGCGTGCATTTTAAAAAAGGAAGTTATGCTGCCGCACCCTGTATTAGAACCAGTGGTTCTCAACCTGTGGGTCCCCAGATGTTTTGGCCTTCAACTCCCAGAAATCCTAACAGTTGTAGGCCAAAACACCTGGGGACCCACAGGCTGAGAACCCCTGTTAGACCCCTTATATTTTTTCCTAAGATTGGAAAATTGAGAGGATTTATAACACTGATCAACACACATGTTGGTGCCTCAAATGTTAGTCCTGTTTCTGGGTATATTTGACCTGTTGATTTCAAAAATTTCCAATTTCCCTCAACTCCAGTTTTTGAGACAGAAAACATATGCCATCTACCAGTTTTCAATCTGCTTGCCCATAAAAATCAGGATATATTAATGTAGTGTTCAAATTAATATATTTTAAGCATGAAGTAAACATATTAAAATTAAAATACAAGTGTACTACATGAAGCACTAGTATTTCATACTAAAAGCACAGATTTAGGACACAAATATGGCAGTTATTTGAGACACCATATCTAAGAAACCAGGGCAGGTGTGGTCTATCCTGTGCCATTTTCTGAAACTATACCCCAAATAACCCCAGGAACAGGCCTAAAACCAAGACACCAAGAATGTTTTTGAGTTGGGTTGCATAATTTTTAGAAAGAGATAAGCCTATGTATGATGGCACACCAGGAAGATCTAATGAGGAACTAAATGTGTCTGGCTATTTTCCCAGTGACCATCGGTATGCCCTAAATTACTTTAATACCTCAAAATAAAACACTAGAGACAAGACTAAATTCAACAATTGTTTACTAAATAATCAAGGTATAAAAGTGCAGTTTGAATAGTGAAATATAAACTCTGAGGTAACAACTATAATTTCTATGAGGTAAATACTCTATGGCATGTACTATCTATTTTATATAACATTTACTATAATCTATAATCTATGGGCATGTATATCTGAACTATCTATCTATAAGGCAAATATTATTTATGAACTATGGCAAATATAACTATTCTAAAATCTATAAACTTTGGCAAATATTATCTATTCTTTATTACAAATACTCTAAGGCAAATATGTGATAAGGATAGCCTGTACGGATTGCAAGCCAGACCAGACATTTCTCTGGCAACTATCTATAAACTATGACCAAAAGGAATGGAGGCAAAAGGTCTTTAACCAGGCTCTGAGGTAGAATGGGCTGAACCTAAGAGCTCGGCCTATAGGGGGAGCCTAAGCTCCTACTCTAAAACTTAACAGAATGGAACAGTCTAACTCCAGGGAAATAAACGGGAAAATAAACTAGGCCGAGACATCACACTATGCATTTCTATTATCCCATTTTATATTCGACATTGCTGAACTTGACCACTGAAAATAGGTTCTGAGACAAGCGAAGCACTAGCAGTGCACATATTCCTGGAGTAACAAAAGCAAAGGTGCCGGTTTCCTTATTTAAGGCATTGGAAGAGCATTCTTGACTATGATCAGGTTGGGCTGCAATCAAGCTCTAGTTTTTCTATGACCATTGTTCTACACATTTGTGCATTTTAATAAAAGGACTATTGGGGATAATGGATCATGACCTGTTAGGATCACTGACTATTGAGGTATAGATCATAAACTGTTAGGGTCACAACCTAATCGGGGTAGCAGAGATTATTTGGTAATGGATGATCGCTGGACATGTAGACATATTATTTTTGTTTGATGCTTTCAGCAGACAATGATGCAAGCAGACTTCTTTTAAAGTTAACAAGTTTTGTTTACTGATAACTTGATAGAATTAAAGATACAAGCACATTTCTTTTCAAAAGTAAACAACTTCAGTGACATTACAATTACAACTTGTAATTTTAACAGTTTCTTCATAAACTATGTTGCTTTATACAGCTCTCTTTAATAAGAGTTTACTTTCAAATAAAACACAAGCTCAATTGTTTCTAACTTCCTAACACGAGCCTCTGCACTCTGACAGACTACTATACTTCTATAACAGTTTTTTCTCAACCTACATTCCCTAACTGTCATCCTGTTTAAACCTGAACATTCTAAACTGTCGAGTCAGTCACATGAGTCCCACTGCTTTAGGTATATAGAGATAAGGAAACTGCAAATCAAATAAGACATATACTTCAAGTTATAAAATGACATATTATAAAACAGACAAACATCATCTAGAGGAGGTTTGAGAAGATTGTTTCCTTCAACAGGGACTTCTCCATTACTTCTGGACTAACCTTGTTTCATTTACCGAAATCTAAGAAAACAAGGTGTTATTTTTCTTAAAGGAAAAAATTAAGGTTTTCAGACTCACGGGTTGCCGCACGCTCCATGCTGAAGAGAGGTGGGTCACAAAAGTAGGGCATCACATTGTAGAGCTAGGACAAAAGCATGTTTTGGTTAACAAATAGCTCTGCTTTACCACTCCATCCCACCTCTCTTTGCAGAGGAACCCTGGAAGTGGTGAGAAAGAGTCATGAGCACAAATACCCGCATCTCTTCCCGCCCCTTTGGCTACTAGCAACCAGTCATCTCACCTCTTCCCTCCACTCTTTCAGGCAGGGAAAGGCCTGCTGCGCCCTCAGATCCTTGAGCACCCCTTGTATGGCGGACGTCCGTTGCTCATAGGAGGCCAGCTGCAGGTTCATCTCCACGTGTGCCGGTGCCTCATCTCCTTGAGACACTGAAAAAACAGCTGGATACTGACAGAGACATCTAGCCACAGCCTGTGGCACATGGCCTACCTGTTGACCAGCGACCATAAATGGCAGACACAGAGTCTTGGAAGAGCCTGCAAGGAGATCAAGCCAAGTCAGACCCCCGGAATACCTTTGAGGAGGGCCAAATTAATGGCAGTGATTCCAAGAAACATGCCATTACAGCTTTCCTCAAAGGGTTTTGACATATCAGATGTCTAAACTTTTTATGTTAGTGGAGAGATTCTGTATATTAGGAAGCAGTCTCCTCTAAGAGACAGAACTACTTTAATGATGATTGTGTGTTTCTTGCATGGCAGTTTGTTGGACGAGATGACCCATATGGTCTGTTCCAACTCTATTATTCTAGGATTCTATGACATTGGCAGTACTTTTCTCATTGGGTTCAATACAACATGTAGCACAATCTGATATGGTCTCTTACTCAGAAGAAAGTCTGAGTAAGTTCTTAATGTATATATTCATTAGGGTTTTCCCCCCAGAATATAAGTATTGTTATACACGCTTGTCAGTAAGTTCATACAGGATAACATTTTGGCAAGCTCATAAAGCACTGTAGTCTCAGTCTACAAGGATTCTGTTTCGCAAGAATGACAGCTCTGGAATATTCAAGCTATTTGACGCCATTCTCCAACAAACATGACACAGTCTTAAAATCATATAATCTATGACTACATGGACCATCTAGTCCAACCCCGTGCCATGCAGGGAAAGCACAATCAGAGCACCCTCGACAGGTGACCATCCAGACGGTATAAAAGCCTCCAAAGAAAGAGCCTTCATCACAATCAAAGGCAGAGAGTTCCACTGTTGAACAGCTTGTACAGTCAGGTAGTTCTTCCTAACTTGGCCACAGTAGTCCACGCTCTGGTTACATCCCGTATAGACTACTGCAACGCACTCTACATGGGGTTGCCTTTGAAGACTGTCCGGAAGCTTCAATTAATCCAACGAACAGCAGCCAGATTGCTAATAGGAGCAGCACTCAGGGAGCATACAACTCCTCTGTTACGCCAGCTCCTTTGGCTGCCAGTTTGCTACTGGGCACAATTCAAAGCCCTAAATGGTTCTGGCCCGACTTACATGTTTGAACACATCTTCCCTTATGAACCTACCTGAAATGCCTTGGTTTACATTACACTATGTAACAAAATTTGAAAGATTTTCTGTTCCTGGTTTGAAAGTGTTATTTCCTGTTTAATTGTGCAGTAATTACTTTGAAAGTAGTTGCCATGGTGTTGCTGTGAGTTTTTTGGGGGCTGTAGGCCATGTTTCAGAAGCATCCTGGACATATACAGCCCAAAAAACTCACAGGAACCCAGTGATTCCAGCAATGAAAATATTTGACAACTCATAGTTATACACTCCAGAAAGTTTTTTTGTGGCTGCCAAAAACTAGGTTGAATTGGTTGAGATTATATAGCAAGATGTGGTGCAAAAACAAAGTTTTTGCAGTTTTGTAAACTTTTGATGACAGAACTAATTAGGAAATGACAAATAGAACCTACTTAAAATGATACACAAATGGTATATAACACCCCAGAAAATTTCAAAATGTTACAAAAATGCATCGAATAAGTGCTGGAACTGTGAGCAACAAATAGGAACTTTCTTTCAAGCTTGGTGGACATGCCCAAAAGCGAAAGAGTTTTGGACTATGTTTCAAAAAACACAAATTCAAAGAGAACCAGAATGCTTTCTTTTAGGAATGCTAGATTTTGAAGGAGACAAAAACAAGGAGATACTGTTTAATTATCTAACTACGGCAGCCAGAATTGCATTGGCAAAGAACTGGCGATCAAAAGAAATACCCAAAAGAAAAGAATGGCAGAACAAGGTCCCTGGAGATAATGACTATGGATGAACTAACTTACTGGCTATCAGGTTTTTTTTGTAGTGTCAGGAACGACTTGAGAAGCTGCAAGTCGTTTCTGGTGTGAGAGAATTGGCCGTCTGGAAGGACGTTGCCAAGGGGACGCCAGGATGTTTTGATGTTTTATCATCCTTGTGGGCGGCTTCTCTCATGTCCCTGCATGAGGAGCTGGAGCTGATAGAGGGAACTCATCCACATTCTCCCTGGATTTGAACCTGTGACCTGTTGGTCTTCAGTCCTGCTGGCACAAGGGTTTAACCCACTGCGCCACTGGGGGCTCCTGCCACTGGTTATCATCAAGCCAAGGGATTCCAAAGAAGCGTACAAATTGGGACTCCGTAAAAGACTATTTTAGAAAATGGAAAATAAGAGATTATTGCTTAAAAAGAGCAAATCATAAATAAAAAAGAAACAGAGGGGAAACAGATAATTTCCGAAACTTAAAAAAATACTTTAAAGACCACCAAAGACTAGATGGAAGTCAACATTTGGTAGGATCCTTAGGGGCAAGTGACCATGTGCTCCTGCAATTTGAGGTACAAAGGAAGGCCGAAACTAAGACAAGTCAAACCCGCATTTTGGACTTTAGGAGAGCTGATTTCCAAAAAATGAAGGAAACACTGAGCAGCATTCCGTGGACACAGATACTAAAAGACAAGGGAGTTACGGATGGATGGGAATTTCTCAAGAGTGAAATACTCAAGACGCAATTGCAAACCGTGCCAACAAAGAGAAAAAATAGGACAAGTGCAAAGAAGCCAGAATGGATGTCCAAAGAACTTCTAACTGTGCTAAGACACAAAAGAGACATACACAAGAAGTGGAAAAAGGGAGAAATCACCAAAGAAGAATTCAAACAAATAGCCAACACCTGTAGGGAAAAGGTCCGCAAGGCTAAAGCAAAACGAGCTCAGACTTGCCAGGGACATTAAAAACAATAAAAAGGGCTTCTTTTCTTATGTCAGTAGAAAAAGGAAAAACAAGGAGGCGATAGGGCCTCTTCGAGGAGAAGATGGGGCAATGCTGACAGGGGATAGGGAAAAGGCAGAACTACTTAATGCCTTCTTTGCCTCGGTCTTCTCACAAAAAGAGAGTCTTCAACCTCAGCAAGATGGAGTGGATGAGGGATTGGAGGACATCCAACCCCAAATTGGGAAAGAAGTCGTCCAGGAATACCTGGCCGCTCTTAATGAGTTCAAGTCCCCAGGGCCAGATCAACTACACCCCAGAGTATTGAAGGAACTAGCGGAAGTCATTTCGGAACCATTGGCAACCATCTTTGAGAGTTCTTGGAGAACGGGAGAAGTTCCAGCAGATTGGAGGAGGGCCAATGTGGTCCCAAACTTCAAGAAGGGAAAAAAGGATGACCCAAACAACTACCGTCCGGTCAGCCTCACGTCGATACCGGGCAAGATTCTGGAAAAGATTGTTAAGGAAGCGGTCTGCAAACACTTAGAAACAAATGCGGTCATCGCTAATAGTCAACATGGATTTATCAAAAACAAGTCATGCCAGACTCATCTGATCTCTTTTTTCGATAGAGTTACAAGCTGGGTAGATGCGGGGAATGCCGTGGATGTAGCGTACCTGGATTTCAGTAAGGCCTTCGACAAGGTCCCCCATGACCTTCTGGCAAGGAAACTAGTCCAATGTGGGCTAGGCAAAACTACGGTGAGGTGGATCTGTAATTGGTTAAGTGGACAAACACAGAGAGTGCTCACTAATGCTTCCTCTTCATCTTGGAAAGAAGTGACAAGTGGAGTGCCGCAGGGTTCCGTCCTGGGCCCGGTCCTGTTCAACATCTTTATTAATGACTTAGATGAAGGGCTAGAAGGCATGATCATCAAGTTTGCAGACGACACCAAATTGGGAGGGACACCAAATAGTCCAGAGGACAGGAGCAGAATTCTGGACACCAAATAGTCCAGAGGACAGGAGCAGAATTCAAAACGATCTTGACAGATTAGAGAGATGGGCCAAAACTAACAAAATGAAGTTCAACAGTGACAAATGCAAGATACTCCACTTTGGCAGAAAAACTGAAATGCAAAGATACAGAATGGGGGACCTGGCTCGAGAGCAGTACGTGTGAAAAAGATCTTGGAGTCCTCGTGGACAACAAGTTAAACATGAGCCAACAATGTGATGTGGCGGCAAAAAAAGCCAATGGGATTTTGGCCTGCATCAATAGAGCATAGTGTCTAGATCTAAGGAAGTAATGCTACCCCTCTATTCTGCTTTGGTTAGACCACATCTGGAATATTGTGTCCAATTCTGGGCACCACAATTCAAGAGAGATATTGACAAGCTGGAATGTGTCCAGAGGAGGGCGACTAAAATGATCAAGGGTCTGGAGAACAAGACCTATGAGGAGCGGCTTAGGGAACTGGGCATGTTTAGCCTGAAGAAGAGAAGGCTGAGAGGAGATATGATAGCCATGTATAAATATGTGAGAGGAAGCCACAGGGAGGAGGGAGCAAGCTTGTTTTCTGCTTCCTTGGAGACTAGGACGCGGAACAATGGCTTCAAACTACAAGAGAGGAGATTCCATCTGAACAGTAGGAAGAACTTCCTGACTGTGAGAGCCGTTCAGCAGTGGAACTCTCTGCCCCGGAGTGTGGTGGAGGCTCCTTCTTTGGAAGCTTTTAAGCAGAGGCTGGATGGCCATCTGTCAGGGGTGATTTGAATGCAATATTCCTGCTTCTTGGCAGGGGGTTGGACTGGATGGCCCATGAGGTCTCTTCCAACTCTTTGATTCTATGATTCTATGATTTTTTTTTATTCCTATTTTTATCCTCCCCCCCCCTTTTCCCCCCGGGTATTTTTTTCTTTCTTCTTACTCGATCTTTTTTCTTTCTACTTTCTTAACTATAACAATTATGTTCTCCTACTTGCGATGTAAAAATCTTCTCTTTCTCTCAAGTTCTGCAAAATCTATTAATAAAAATATCTAGAAAAGAAAATGGCATTTAAAACCCAGGAACAAAAATTGTGTTACATAGTGTTATTAAATGTACAGGAGCTGTTCCAGATTTTAATCTGACAACACTGCATACCATGAATTGGGATAAAGGTATACTGATGATACCTAATGTATATTTCCATACTTATTCTTCAATCTCGGTTTTGAATCTACCACTATTTTTATTTATTTTTTTCCTAAATTTATACCCCACCCTTCTCACCCCGAAAGGGGACTCAGGGCGGCCTAACAAAAGCATCATATGATGCTAGCATTATAAAAACAACCATAGTACAATCAAAATATTAAAAATAAAAAAAATCCATTAAAATCAAAATCCAAAAACCAGTCTGGGTCAATTCATTGCCATAAGTTGTGTGCATTCTTCCACTTGTTGCTCACTGATCAAATGCTTGGTCCCATAACCAGGTCTTCATTTTCCTTCTAAAAGACAAGAGGGAGGTGGCCAATCTGATATCTCTAGGGAGGGCGTTCCATAGGCGGGGGGGGGGGGGGGGGGGGGGCACTGATGAGAAGGCCCTGTCTTTTGTCCCCATCAACCGCACTTGCGATAGTGGCGGGATCGAGAGCAGGGCCTCTTCTGAAGATCTTAAACTTTGTGATGGTTCGTGGCAAGAGATACGTTCGGATAGGTAGTCTGGGCCAGAACCGTTTAGGGCTTTAAAGGTTAAAACAGCACTTTGAATTGTGCTCAGAACCTGATCGGAAGCCAGTGGACTTGGCGTAACAAAGGAGTTGTATGTTCCCTGTACTTCGCTCTGGTGAGCAACCTGGCTGCCGACCATTGGACTAGTTGAAGCTTCTGGGTAGTCTTCAAAGGCAGCCCCATGTAGAGTGCGTTACAGTAGTCTATTCAGGGATGTAACAAGAGCGTGGATCACCGTGGCCAAGTCAGACTTCTCAAGAACGGGCACAGCTGGCGCACAGGTTTTAATGATTACTATTAAAACAACACTATTACAACAACTACAAAGTTTGGTCATCGGTTTCATCAAGTTGTATGTACATTTGGGAGAGACCAAAAGGGCCATCCAGTCTAAACCCAATCAAAGCACTCCTGACAGATGACCATCCAGCCTCTGTTTAAAACCTCCAGAGAAGGAGATGCGACCACCCTAGGGTATTGCACCAAGGCACCTAACACAGCCCGGATCTTTTTCTGTAGCTAACACAGATCCCATTCGTGAAGATTATTCTGCACACTTATGCAAGCAGAGGTGTCTCAAAAGCCGGCTTTTCCTCCCTCCCATCCGCACCTGCGCCCTGGAAAGAGTTCATCCTCGTGAGCAGCTCGCGCACCCTCTCAGACCACCCGGGAGCCGCCATGACGACACGGCGCCTCCAGCCTCCGCCCCCAGCCAATCGCGTCGAGCCATTCCGCGCAGCCCGCCCCCTTCAGGAGTCGCAATATCTGATTGGCTCTTGTAGTATTCTACCTCATTCCGCGTTTTGATTGGGTCCCAGAGCTCTAGTGTTTTAATCTACACACCGTGACACCACTTTAATTGACATGCTCAATGCTACGGAATCCTTCGATTTGTAGTTTGCTGGGTCAGTCCAAATCCAAGGATTCCGTAGCACTGGGCCATTTGTGGTTTGGCAGAGAAGGCCGTGCAAAAGTACAACTCCACATTATCTCCGACTCTTCGTGACCTCATGGACCAGCCCACGCCAGAGCTCCCTGTCAGCCGTAGCCACCCCCAGCTCCTTCAAGGTCAAGCCAGTCACTCCAAGGATACCATCCATCCATCTTGCCCTTGGTCGGCCCCTCTTCCTTTTGCCTTCCATTTTTCCCCAGCATCATTGTCCTCTCCAAGCTTTCCTATCTTCTCATTATGTGGCCAAAGGACTTCATCTTTGCCTCTAATATCCTTCCCTCCAGTGAGCAGCCTGGCTGTGGAAGGGTCCTGGGACATTTAAAAAGGAGCTGAAGATGGGGACAGTAGCAGATTAATCAGGATTGTCTCTGCCAGTCTGAGGTCCTATCTAGACTGCCATATATCTCCTGCCACGAACCATCATGAAGTTTAAGATCTTCAGGAGAGGCCCTGCTCTTAATCCCACCACTATCGCAAACACGGTTGATGAGGACGAGAGACAGGGCCTTCTCAGCAGTGGCCCCACGCCTGTGGAACGCCCTCCCTAGAGATATCGGATTGGCCACCTCCCTCTTGTCTTTTAGAAGGAAAATCAAGACCTGGTTATGAGACCAAGCGTTTGATCAGTGAGCAGCAAGTGGAAGAAGATCACACAACTTATGGCAATGAATTGACCCAGACTGCTTTTTGGATTTTGATTTAATGGATATGTCTTAATTAATTGTTTTAATGGTTGTTTTTTATTTTTAATATTTTGATTGTACTGTGTTTGTTTTTACGATGCTAGCATCGTATGATGCTTTTGTTAGGCTGCCCTGAGTACCCCTTCGGGGGGAGAAGGGTGGGGTATAAATATAGGAAATATATAAATAAACAGTAAACTTTGAAACTGCCTTATATCGTCAGTGTGGTCCCAGTGTCCCTCACTTGAACTGGATTGAACTGCATTAGATGAGTCTGCTCTGAGCAAACTCAGACCACATCAGCATTATATGGTAGTGCAGATGGGGCCTGAGATAGTTATAGAGTATTCCAGGGTGGGCATGTTCCAAACTTCACATTTTATTAGTAACCCAAGACATATCAAGTATGCATACACTATATATCTAAGGTCTCTTCAACACTGCCATATAAAATCCATATTATCTGGGTTGTTGTAGGGTTTTTTTGGCTGTATGGCCATGGTCTAGAGGCATTCTCTCCTGACGTTTCGCCTGCATCTATGGCAAGCATCTTCAGAGGTAGTGAGGTCTGTTGGAACTAGGAAAAAGGGTTTATATATCTGTGGAATGACCAGGGTGAGCCTAGCATTTTCCTTCCAGTATTGAGGACAAACTCACGGGCCCCCGCCTTCAAGCTAATCTGAAACACAGCAGGGAGTTCCACAGTTCCTGGAAGTATAGACTGGATGAAGACACAGGAACTGTGGCTCCAGCAGCAGCCTCAACAAAGGGACTTTCCTTTTTTTTCCTACTGAACTCACCCTGTTACCTTGTAACAAAGCCCCCAATAAAAAGTATCCTTCTTTTAACTTTTTCTCTCTCTGGAATGATATTTTGTGTCCTTTACTGACTCTAACCTCTTTCGACATGAACCTTTTCTCTCCGGAGCCGCGGAACTTCACCAGCTCACCTGGAACGCTCCCGCTGTAGCCCTGGGAGGCAGAATCTGCGTTCCTTTGAACCACGGATACAGAAACCCACCAGGTCCCCATATCTGCGGGTCAACTGATCGGCTCCAAACTGGTGCCATCTTTTTCCTGGGCTAATTCTAACTGCTATCTTACCTTCAGCTGAACAGACCTTTGCACCCTGGGAACCTACCTTTTGTGTGAAAACCTAATGTGGGGACCAGTAGGCTTCTTACCATGGCTCCACACAGCAACAATGTTCATGCCTCCATTTCATGCGCATCACCTCCAACCAAGAAGCCTGCCAACCACAGGAAAGTCCCATCTCTGTTTCATCAATGAACCCCATATCGCAGGATGATAAAACAAAGGCCAGACAAGGATGTCTATTTAGAGAATCAAATAATAGCTCAGGCCAGCCTTGAGAGCCTAAAGCTATTGCCCAGGCATTTGGCAAACACACTGGTCATCTTAATTCCTTCATTTCCTCATTTTTTTCATCATTTCCCGCCTGGCCTGCCTCCTCCCTTCTCATTGGCTGAGCGGCCAGCCAGCTGATGCCTCCACCAATCAGCACAAAGCTAGCTCAGGGGGCAGGCGTGGGAAACTTGAATTTGACAGCTCTGTATTTTTATAAATATTGTGTTTCTCTGCCCAACGGGTTATGTTGGCTCCTGGGTAAATGATTGCGGTCGTCATCCGTTCCAGCTGGAATGAAATAAATATCTCGGTGGCTTTCCTTCAACTTGGTAAGATTTTATTTGGGGAAAAAATAGGAAAAAATCCTTTTCGATGCTTGTAGTCTTGCCAGGTGTTCTGGATCCTCTTTTTGGGTCTGGCTGGCCTCTGCCTCAGTAGGGTCTCCCAAATTTGTGTTCGACTTCAATATCAGCCAAATAATTAAATCCATCATAGATCCTCCACCTCATCTGTTTCAGCATCCTCTTATCGGTATGCTCTTTCATGCAGCTATATAACCATTGACATACTTTTTTTTTAAGGGGGGGGGGGTAAATACCCTAAAGATACCAGATCATTTCTGAACTTGGAAGCTAAGCAAGGGCATCCCTGGTTAGTACCTAAATCTAAATGGCAGACTGCCAACAAATACCAGATGCTCTAGGCCGGGGTCCTGAAACTAAGGCCCGGGGGCCAGATATGGCCCTCCAAGGTCATTTACCTGGCCCTTGCTCAGGATCAACCTAAGTCTGAAACGACTTCAAAGCACACAACAACAACAATCTTATCTCATCAGCCAAAAGCAGGCCCACACTTCCCATTGAAATACGAATAAGTCTATATTTGTTAAAATTGTTCTTCATTTTAATTATTGTGTTGTTTTTAAGTGTTTTTTGCACTACAAATAAGATATGTGCAGTGTGCAAAGGAATTCACTCATATTTTTTTCAAATTATAATCCAGCCCTCCAACAGTTTGAGGGACTGTGACCTGGCCCTCTGTTTAAAAAGTTTGAGGACCCCTGCCTAGGCTATATTTCAGAGGAAGGAAATGACAAAATCACCACTGAGTATCCTTTGAGGTAGGGCCCTTCTACACAGCCATATAACCCAGAAAATCAAGGCAGAAAATCCCACAATATCTGCTTTGAACTGGGTTGTCTGAGTCCAGTGCCATATATTGCAGTTCAAAGAAGATATTGTGGGATTTTATTTAGCTGTGTGGAAGGGGACTAAGAAAACCCTATGAAATTCATGGAGTCACCATAAGTGGATTGGTGACTTGAGGACACACTCACACAAATGTTTTTTCCCCCGGAAGAATCACACTGAGTCAGCCTGAATTAGGGAAACAATTTTTTATTCTCATAATTATCAATTATACACTTTAAGTGTTTTTACTCCTTTTTTCCAAGTGTCTGGCTTCTAAGATTATTTTTTTTTATCACAACGGCCAGTAGAAAAATAACCAAACTCTTAAAAACAAAAGCGCTCATTGGCGCTTCCCACAAAGATAGGGAGGGTGAGGCGGGGATAGGGTTGCTGTTGTGGGGCCATTTTGGAGTGGGTGAGGAAGGGACATGTTTAGGGAACAGTTCACAAAGTACTCACAGGTTTTTTTTTATGTACAGAGCAACTAGGTGTCAATGGCTGCGCAGATGCCCTGTGTCGGAGCAAACAATTGGAAGAATGAAAGCTGGTCCTTGTAAATTTCCTGGAGAGGACAATCACAACCATAAATGTCATTTTCCAAATGTGCTTTATTTTGGTTCATCTCCGTTTGTTCCAGCCACAAGCCACTGTACCCCAGTGCCTCTTCAGCAATAAGATGAAGCCAAGCTGTTACACTGTTATCCCTCCTTCCCAGCTCTGGGAACACAACCGGTGAGATTGGACTCATGGTTCCCTACGGAAGAACTGCTTTGCTTCTCCAGCCTGGCTCCTCTAGGGCCCAATATGAATTCACACTATGACAAATAGTCTGCAAAGACAAACATAGCCTCCAGCGAAACATCAATGCTTCTGAGGAAGCCTCCAACAAAAAAATCGGAGAACAGACTTTTAAAAAATATTAAAGATGACATTTATCCCCACATGTCACATCTTCAGGGAAGCCTTTAACAATTCGCTTTTCCCAATAAATATGGCTCACAAGATTTGTGGCCCACTTGTCCACACACACATTCATTCCAGTCATATATATAATTATAGAGCAGGCCATCTAGGATTCAATAGACCTGCTTATCTCCTTCTCAGTAAAGCTGCCAACCCCCTCTTTTCCTGCCTAGCTTCTGTCAACAAAACTGATGGGGAGAGTGGGATTGTCAAATGCTTGCAAAGTCACACTGTAGAAGTGAACTGCTCATCTTGATAGCTTAAATAATGTGAAGGGCTGTACCAAATGTCAGCCCTGCTTTTGAGACTCCCACTCCATTCATAATGGTTCTGTAATGATTCCTTCAGACACAAGAATCATTGCAAAACATACACCATTTCGTAACATGAGTCTTCAAGTTTTTTTATCAAGATATCCCTTCTCGACTGTAGCAACAGCAGCTTATATATTATCACGAAAGTGCTTCAAAATGCCCTCTACAGAGCAAACCTGGGCACAGAAAAGGAGAAGCCCTAACTTCTGTCTCCTTTATGAGGCCCCT